AGAGGCTCAAAACACAAACGATAAGGTTTTGCCCGGAAACGATCATGTATGCAAACGTAACTTACCTATTTGGACATGCTACAATGGTTTATGACTTAAAAATACCACCGATACAAAATCCGACCCCCCCAACGGGCAAAAAGGCAAAAATAGAACTTGGAATGAAAACTCGGAATCCAAAAATACAAAACGGGATCAAATGACCGTTTGGCCCTTGGCCACACTTCAAACAAGATTTATAAGACCCTATAAAAGAATGAAAATGGAATTCCCACACCCGATGCAACCATGGTAAAACAATGACTTGCGATTTTTCAAGGTTTTCATAACATTTCATGAAGTTAAAAAGTTGCATAAAATACAATATACATGTCATTGGCCTCCGGCCTCATCTCATACATATCAAATACATTGAAAGGAGTGTACTTAAGTACACATTACATACATGGAATCAAATATACATATTTTGACAAATAAGTCTACAAAATGACATTCAATGCTAACATTTGCATGAAATGGAAACTTGAAAGCTACACGACATCTAAGTAATGCTAGGCGTCATGAATCAAGTCTTCGTACCTGAAATATGCCCCAGTATCGTAGGGGTGAGTAACATAAAGCTACTCGTAGGAGATGAGCATGCATCGACCTAGCATTTTACAAATTTATCACCTTAACGTGAAGCATGTTAAAGGGGTTCATGCCACCTAACATCTATGTCCAAGTGAGACTCGAGGAGCATCCTAAGCTACCTTAGAGTCTAAGCAACAAGAATCATGATATACATACGTGTATGAAACGAATCATGGCTGGGATAATCTAAAGAACACGATAAGAAGAATGCTTGAGCATAGATTAACATGAATTGCAATTTCAATACGATTGAACTAGGTCTAGAGTAATCCATATAACATAACAAAAGCATATTTGAATACAAGTTAACAAGAATCACATTTTTCATGCAATTCAACAACAAAATAGCATGTTATACAATACAACAAGGTATAAGTTCTCAAAGCCATCAACTTAGAATCTAACGCACAAAATAACATTGGTGGTTCATGCCATCTAACGTCTAAGTTCTAAATGAATCAATAGGATCAATCCTAAGCTTTGTTAGAATGTCAAAACACAATTTCCAATATCGATGCAATTTAACCAACATTGGAACTTCTAATACAACGCATAAAGCACAATTTCACAAAGTTAACATCATGTAACTTAAAATGGAACGACAAATAAGGAACAACAAGTTACAACATCATCTAGTTATTAACTTGAAAATGAAATGCAAAGTCAAACAAAGTGGATACTCGGACGTCACGCCGAATCAGACCGACAACATAGTTACTTTAGGGTTACTAGCCCATGGGTAACCTCCCTATGTGCGCACTAGACTATATAGAAGGACTATCCCCCGTACTAGAACCACGTCCTAGCCATAGTCAAACAACGACATCCCCAAGTTTCCAAAATCAACAAGTTGTGCAACAACGCATATATTAACAGGAATATGCAAGATAATCAACTATCTACTAAGCACAACCAAATTTGGAAACCTATACAATACATGCTCTAAATCCACAACTAATATGATATGATGAATGTCGAATCTTCAGTGTGCGATTCGTTACACGCTATGCATGAAAGATGTTAAATACGAAGTGTGCAAATCATTACACGAGGCAACAATATATTCAATAAGGAAAACATATTCTCATGAGTACAAACATAGCAACTATGTTATCTAATGTTCAAAACATAACCAAATGAATATACAACAACTCTAAGTCCATGATTTGAATATAGAAACCACTTCTAAAACACAACTAGATCATGGAGGAAATTGATAGAATTTAAATAGATAAACAAAATAAAATTCTCTAGATTCCAATTCAATTCCAATTAACCTCAATTTAATACATGTTAAAGGACATGGCAAGGTCATCACCTATATCCATTCTAAAACTCAATTAGGTTGTTAGAACAACAAAATAGAACTTTAATCAAATCATGCTAATTTAAATCCCAAGGTTCTGAAACAACTTCAGATAGTCCCAAATTAATATATACTAGTAACTAGTCATGGCCAATACAAACATCAAGTTAAAACCTTAATTAAGCTAATGGGATTACAAAATAGGTTTTAATTAATTCTTTTAATTAAAATCTCTAGATCTTCAAACTTAACCAAATGCTCTCAAATTAACCTATTTTGGAAAACATGCTAAGGACTAATGTAATATCACATTAAAAGTTTATTTCATTCAATTTATGACTATGCGAATTAAACTTTCACTAAAGTTAAATATAAAACAAAATTTGCAATTCTCATGCAATAAATCCCAATTTAATACATGTGAACAACCATACCAAAACTTAATTTTCTAGCATGCTACAATACAATTCTAAGTTGTATATCACCATGAGGATTAAATCTTAAACATGGAATTTAATTAAATAAAAGGTTTCAAAACCTAACCGAAAATTCTAAATCAAATATATGTGTAGCTATATGGCATGTAAATCAAGAATATCAAGTCGGAATTCAAATAGAGTAAATAGTGCACTCGGGGCAAATTAATTAATAATTACTAATTTTCAAAACACCTCCAATTACTTTCAAATTCAACTATGTTGGAGAGCATGCTAAGGCCTAATTTAATATGCTAACACATATTGATTTCAAGTTAGTTAAGGCCATGTGAATTGATCTTTCACCTAAGATAAATATTAAATAAAATCTTTAATACTTATTCAAATGTTCCAATTTTAATACACGATAATGAGCATATCAAGGGGCAATATAAAATCATGCTACATGTTTAAACCAAGTCATGAGCAACCGGGAAAATTAGATCCCTTACAAGAAAAATAAATAATAAAATCTCTAAATTTTATATTTAATCATGCAAACAAGTAGTATAAGCATCACAAGCATGCTATATAATAAGAATTTAAACCTAGAACATCCCCTACCTCAATTTGAGATGAAATCTCTAAGGCCCACCAAAATAAAAGTGCTCCGAATTCGACGATACCGAGTGGTTTTGTCTGGGACAACACCGTGAACAAGAATCCGCAAGAAGCCCCATGAAAATCTCAACTTGAATCCAAACCCGAACTCGAAAAATCATCAGAAATGGATTCTAATAAGGGCAAAAGGTAGAGCACGTTGAGGGAAGTAATAAATGCTAAGGCCGAAGGATTTCTACTAAGGAAAAGTGGACCAAAGGAGGAGAGAGAAAGGGGCAGCCATGTCTGCTAGGAGATCCGGCTAAGAGCGGTGGGGAAGATGATCAAAATCTAATTTTTCTTCTTTAAGTGTTCTATTTATAGTAAGTCTCAAAAACTGCCTCGGAAGAGCCCCGTAGGGTCCGGAAAAGTGGATTTTGAGCAAACGCGCTGAAACGGCAAAACTTCATGAACAAAAAAGATTCAAAATGAGAAAATATAAACAACGGGAGAAATAACGTCAAAAATTAAGTCCCGTACAGAGATATATGCCCCAAACAAGTTCGGCGACAACCGGGGTCAAAAACTCTGAAACTGGAGAAAAACGGTCAGAAGGAAATTCTATGAATTTACGAGTCAACAAAAAGTGAGAATGAATCCTGTATGAGGATTCAGGCACTAGATGAGGTATTTTGCAATAATTTTCGTTAATTGCACAATAGCCCCTACAAAAGGGTTAACTACGAAATTGCCCCAGAATGAAAATATCTTCCAAAAGATATTTTCTTAGATACCCCTGAAATAAAATATCTTCAAAAGATATTTACGAAAAATACCCCAAGAAATGAAAAAGATTCTAAAGAATTGTGCATCCATGCCCCTGTGGGCACCGGGAGCAACCAGAGTACTTTCTTGCAAAAGTAAAAATATGTATTTTGAGGAAACCACTCAAGATGAAGGCACGTGAAGTCAAAAATCAACTCCAAGTATGAGAAGTGAGGTTGTGCCAAAAACTGACAAACGGAGATAAGACGAAATAGGAAAAATGACAAAATAGGGAAAAGACGAATAACGCATAGTGTTTGAAAAACGAAAAATGAGAAAATGACTCGGTCCTCAAAGGAAGTTGTCAATTCACATGAAAGAGTCTCAGAAACCAATTCTGAGCACTCGAGATGACACTAAGCGACACGAAACAGAGCTCAGAAAAGAAAATTAAACGAAAAAAATTCATTCGTAAAATTTCAGGAAAAAGAAAAGGAAGGGAAATGACCGGGTCGTTACAGCAAGTCCAATAGAAAAGAAGTTTAAAACTTCCCAAACTATATCATTTGCAGTGATAGCAGAGGAAACTTTAGTATCATAATGTAATGTTGAATTTCTTTCCATTCAAATCTTCCAAACAAACACAATAAAGAACCCTTTCAACAACTTGAACTTAAAACCCTTAGGCTGTGTAATCTGAAGCATCCATTGCATAAAAAAATTAAGCTCTTGAAACCTTTGATCAAGATTATTCAACCAAAGAACAATCTGCTGCCAGACTTCAATAGTATACACATAGGTACAAAATAAATGATTATTAATGTCTTCAGCCTGAAAATAGTTATGATATACTGATGGTCCATGAAAACCCCTTCTCTGTAAATTAACAAATGACAGATTTTTATTATGCATGATAATTGCAAAAACTATAGAGATCCTTGGTGTGTAATATTTCCAACATAGACCCTTCCACCTAACCACTTGCCCCCTATCCCTGCAAGCTATCCAGGCATTCTTCAAACTAAACACACCATGCATCCAACTGATCTCATTATTACCAGTTTTTGGAATAATATTGACAACAAAAGCAGCAACAGGTTCTGGGAAAAAATAGGTAAAACCCATCCACTATCAACAAGAAGTGTATCTACTGTAGCTTATTTATCAAAATTTCTAAACATAGTTGCCCCAAATCTCTAAACCAATGACAGACCTACACACCAAGGATTAAATAAAATATTAAAGGATCCACGATTTCCAATCTTGAACACCACATTTTCTTAAAAAAAGTCTCTTATATCCAGAATCTGCTTCCAAATACTTGAGTCTTGAGGTTTTGGTAAAACCATCCAAAAATTATGATGCTGTAAGTATCTAGCATGCATCCAGTACACCCATAAAGTCTCCTTGTTCCTCAGAAAATCCCAACAAATAGAAACCTTAGCTGCAAAATCAATGTCAGAGATTTTGCGTAAATTAAAGCCACCTTCTGCATAAGGGAGAGTTACTTGACTCCATTTGAGTTGGGACATCTTTCTTGAATCTAGCTTTCCATTCCATAAAAAGTGTTTAAACTTTTTCTCCAAAGCAGTAATGTAGCCCCAGGGTATTTTGAATCCAAATACCCAATGATATAAGGAACTCAATTCTACCTGCAAGAGAAAGATTGATAGTATTAATGATCCAACCTTGCATTTACTTTGTCAAATAATCCCTTGCAATCAACACTCTTCAAAACTCTGTTCACTAGAGTAATTCTAAGATATTTTATAGGAAAAGCTTCATTTTTCATTTACAAAATCTATAAAATTCTTCTCCTCCCCCTGACAGCCTTAGAAAATATAATTGAACTCTTGTCTTTATTCACTTCAAGCTTAGAAACCTTATAAAACCTTTTAAGCACCTCATCAACTGTTTTAGCAGTAGAGATATCTGCCTTCACAATAATAAATAAGTCATCGGCATAAAATGCATGAGAGACCAACAATCCAATTTTCTGAACCACATTACACAACTTAATCTGTGCTCCCACAATTCTATCATACATTAGAGTTGAGAAGTGATCAGTAATTAATGTAAACAAAAGAGGAGAAAGAGGGCAACCCTATCTAAGACCTCTCTGAGCTGAGAAATAACTAGTAGGCACCCCATTGCAAAGCACTAAAAACTTAAAAGAAGTAACACACTTAAAACCCATTGAATCCATTTAACACTGAAACCATATAACTGGAGAGTTTTTTTGTATGAAATCCCAACTAACAGAATCATAAGCTTTCCTAAGATCAACCTTCAAGGCCATAGCAAGACCTGTTGTCTTCAACCCAAAGTTTTTAATCACATCAGACACCAACAATATATTATCATGAATTCTTCTTCCATTGATAAAAGTAGACTGCTTCAACCCAACAATGTTAGGGAGAACAACACTTAGCCTATTTGCCAAAATTTTGTAAATAATTTTGTAACTAAGATTGCATACGGCAATTGGTCTGTAATTTTCTACTTTGTCCCCATGATTTTGCTTTGGAATCAAGGCAAGGAAAGTAAAGTTAATCCCCATAGGCATCACGGTAGCATTGAAAAAGAAGGCAATAGCATTGATCAAATCAGTACCGACAATATGCCAAAATTTCTGAAAGAACCTGGCTGGAAAACCATCTGGACCAGGTGCTTTGTCAGGACTAAAAGCCATCACAACCCTTTTAATCTCCTCAACTATAACCTCCCTATCAAGTTCCTATAAATCTTCAACAGCTAATTGTATTATAGGGGAAACCACTTCTATCACAACAGTATCCTTGGTAGCATATAAATCTTTATAATATTGCACAAGCCAATCCTTAATCACTCGAGGATAAGAAGATGTGGCTCTATCAAGTTGCTTCAAACAAGTAATTGCATTGTAACATCTCCTCTGTTTGACCAAATTGTGAAAATAGGCTGAACATTTATCTCCCTTTTTAAGCCACCTGACCCTTTATTTTTGACACCATAAAATTTATTCTAGGTCTAAAGTAGATTGCAGCTTCAAAGTAACCTCCCTCTCCTTAGCAAATAAATCATGGTTCATAGAATCTTTCAGCATATCTATTTGAATCATATGTAAATCCTCTCTCACAACTTGAACCTGCTCAGAGACCTTACCCTTTTTCTTATTCCAATCTCTGATAATAGATTTCACAGCTCTAAGTTTCTTCTGTAACTTGTGTAAAGGGTTCCCACCAAATAGTTCACTCCATGCTTTGAGCACCAAATCATCTACTTCTTGTTGGAAACACCAAACTTTTAAGAACTTAAAAGGTTTAGGGCCAACTGCACACTCTAAATGCCAAGTTACTGCCGATCCATAATGATCTGACAAAGATACAGGTGTCAAATACACTCTGGTATCAGTAAACTTATGCAACTAGTCCTCATTAGCAAGAACCCTGTCCAATCTAATATTGATCCTTCTATTTCTCTCTGGCTTATTACTCCAAGACCAACCACCATTGTTAATAGGAAGCTCCTCCATTTGAATATCTTTGATCACTTGATTAAATTCATTAAGGAGGTGTTGAGGCACTCTTAATCCCCCCATTTTTGCATTATAGAGCCTATAAATATTCCAGTCCCCTATAGCAAGCCAAGGACAATCTACCACTGTAGCTTGATCTTTCAGATTCAACCTTAACTTCCTTCTTTCTTGCACAGTGTTAGCAGCATAGCAAAAATAAAAACATTCTCTCCTATTAAAATATGTCTAACCTTCAAAAAGATCACTTTAGTATCTTCCTGTATAAGCTGAATTTCAAACACCAGAGGATCCCAAGCAAACCAAAATTTTCCCAAGAAGTGAGAATCATAGTTAGCCAACCAGTTCCATCTAGAGTTCATTTTATGCCGTATTTTACTAGCTTTACCTTGCCTAACTCTAGTCTCCACCAGAGCCGCCAAGGAAAATTTATTCTTCCCCATCTAGGCCTTGACAACTACCAGCATATTAGGTCTATTTAGACCCCTTACATTCCAAACTCCAAGCATTAAGAAAGAGACTTTGGTGGTAAAACACCATCAGTTTGTTTACCTCGAGTAACCCTATCAGAAGGTGGAGCTTGATACCTCTTCTTAGGTTTAAATTTTTGATCTTCAGTTTGTTCAGCAACAGAGCTTGAAAAACCACCCTTGCCACTATCCTCACTTGCTTTACAAGCCTCATCAGTAGAAGCAAGTCCCTTGACTAAGGCTTCTGTAACGACCCGAACCTGTAGGTCCGAATCGCTAAACTGGTCCTTACCCAAACCTGATGTCACTTAAGGGCACCATCGTCAATCTACATGTCAAGACACCTTCAATGCACAACTACAACACATTACATACGCTAAAGAACTGCTACAAGGTAGAGGAATAGCTCCAAAGATGGTGGAATAAGAACAGTGAAGGCCTAACATTTCGGTCGGCCGAAATGCCACTTCGGTCGGCCGAAATTCCTATTCTGATCAGCTAAAATGGACCAAATGGTCGACCAATTGTGGCCAAAAATCTTGCAAGGCTACTGGAATTTGGAAAAAAAATGACCGGTCGGCCGAAGCAGTCATTTTGGTCAGCCAAAATAACCCTTCGAGTTGGAGTTCTGCTATTGGATTGCTGTGAATGTGAAAATGAATAATGGTCTATGTAAGTGTTTTTAAAACTACTCTAAACCTGCTCTAACATACTGTAAAATGACATACTACGTTCCATGGTTATAAACATCAATAATTTGATACAATGCAACATCATCTTTCTCATTCAAATAAGAAATAACAATGTAATCTTACAATAGCTCGATTTACATCAAAAATACTGTCAAAGGTTTATGGTTACATTACATGGCCAAGCTATACAAACTTAATAAATTTTCAAGATGGTACTCTACAAAAGAATGGGCTCAACATAAAAAAGGTTGCAAAACACACTTCTAATCTCCTCATGTTTGTGGTGGATTGTCATCCGCCACCTCCTTTTCGTAATCTGAAAAATGTTAATAATAAGGGGTGAGCACAATGGCTCAGTAGGAGGTACCTAAGACACACCTCTTGTGACCCCATAAATCCGTACAATGAATAGAAACTAAAGGAAACGGGATCATGCCATACTGGGGAGAATACAACCACAATATCAACATTAATAAATCCAAGTCGTGAATGAACTATGCTGTGCAATGGGATGCGATGTCATGCAATGTTATTCCCCATTTCCAAAACCTTTTCCGTCATCATTTCCAAACCGTTATATCCCATGGCAACTCCATGGCGGCATGAAAGGAGGATTGGCTAACTGTCCCTGACCCATGGCAACTCCATGGCGTCATTTGGGGCCAGGTAACTCATCCACTCTAGGGCAGTCTCCTTAGTCCCCTCTTAGTCGCACTAACGCCACGGACCCTAGGCAACTCCTTGGTGACCGGTTTTCACTAACCTTTTATCAAAACATTTCCCAAAAACAATTTTCCTTCCTTTTCAAATCAAATTTCCCATTTTCCTTGCCTAATGTCATGCATGAATGCATCATTCTTTTCCATGCCATACCATTATTTATTATCATACATCTAATTCAAGTTTAAACCACTTAGCATGCTTTACAAGAAATTCCAAAAAAAAAAAAAAAAAAAACCATGCTTTCATATTATAAAATCTAGCAATATAAACACAATAGGCAAGGAATAATACCACTTAAGCATGCTAATTCATACAATATCAACTAACACACATAGTCACATACTTCATTTACAACAATTAGGTCATTTTAAGATAAATCAACACAAATTTAGCATGCTGGTCAACAAATTATAAAGAATAACTCACAGAAAATCAAAGAAGTTGTGGATTAGAGACCCCTACCTCAAAGCTAGATGGAAAGCCCCAAAAATGCCTAAAAAATTCAAAATTCCAAAGGTTAGCTAAACAAGGATTTGCTTCTATCAAAGCGTAGATCTCAACGAGCTCTCCGACTTGCCGCAAATGACACTAACAAACTCCCAACGGTTGAAGAGTAATCAAAGTTTGAAATTTCTGAAAAAAGAAAAGAAAAAAAAAACGGAAGAGGAAATGAGAGAGAGAGACGTGAGATAGAGAGAGAAAGTGAGGCCAAGAAATGGCCTCTTGGCCACTTAAAAAAATATAAGCGGTGGTGGGTCTTACCACTAAAAAAATATCCCACCCTTTCTCATTTAATGCATATGTATGTATTAAATTATAACCACACAATTTAACACTCTACCATAATATTATGCATAAAATAATAATACATGAAATGCCATGGACCCAAGACGCAAGCCCCGTACACAACAATTCGGACCCACGTGGGTCCTCTCGGCCGAAAAATAGAAAAATGCCGAAATGGCAACCATTGCATTTCCAAGAATCCTGAACTCAATGGAATGCCCAATCCAACTCTCAGACACACCCGGCACACCCCACGGTGTTCAGCACGCAAAACGAGAAAAGACAAAAATACCCTCGAAAAATTCAGAAAATCCCGAAAAATGGAAAATGGTAAAAAATTGGAAACATTACAGCTTCCTCACTACAAGTAGTCTTCTGTGACTCCTCCATGTTTGTCTTAGTGTTCACTTCCTCAACAACAGAACCTAAAAATCCACCCTTACCACTGCCCACAATTTCTTTTCTAGCCTCAGCAGTATAAACTAGCCCCTTGACTAAGGCTTCCTCAATAACCTACTGTGACTCTTCCAGAGTTTCCTTAAAATTCTCTTCCTTAGAACACTCTTCCTCAGGTAGTGTTAGATCATATACAATCCTAGTTGGACTAACAACCCCTTTAACATTCTTCTAGATGGGCCCCTCTATCATAGGATTCAACTTCTCTTGATCTATGCTAACTAACTCCAGGTCCTCAACGACCTTTGCATCCCTATGACTTTCCAATATAGCTTATGTATCATCACCAAGCAAAGAAAATGAATTAGATACCTCCAAAGTAGTAGCTTTACCAGAATGTCCTTGAATAGCAGTTCCTTCTAAACCTCGTTGAGGCATTTCATCAACAACCTACACGACATCGTCATTATCCACCAATTTTCCTTTCTGTTTGATCACCCATCTGTCTGTGGTCTTTTTCATCTTGGCTGGGATAACTTTCTTTGGGCATTGATCCACCACATGATCAATCTTTTTACACAAGGAGCATATGCGAGGCTTTCACTCATATTCAAAAGTAACATCACAATCTAACCCATGCATGTCAACAACTATGTTTTCCGACAAGTCCTCAGAGATACCGACCTCAATCATGACACGGACAAAGCCTCATTTGTCTTTGTATTTAGCTGGATTATCCATATAGATTGGATGTGAGAATGAAGAACAAACCTTTGAGACCGATACAGCATTGCGACAATGCATAGGTAGATCATATATACGAGTCCATATAGGTACCGAATCTAAAGCTTCTCTTTCTAGAACCACATTCTTGCACCACTATTTTATATTTATTAATCTCCCTTCAAAGGTATGGATTCTAGACAAAACTTGTTACACCAAATCTTCATTTTGAAACCGAACCATGAAGAAACCATTTTTTAGATACACTAGTGTAATATCTTTATCCCATCTTTTCTCCACAAACACCTTGAAGTGGTGATAATATGGATGACGTCCCAACATGTAGCCCACCAGTGATAGCTTCCAGTAATCAATCTCATCTGCTACATCTTTAATATATAGTAATAGAAACCTTCGATCCACGGCTAGAACTATGATATTGCAGGTTAGTAAAAGCGGAAGAGGAGGAGTTAGAAGAAGCGAAACAACTCTTCCAAGAGAGTTTAAGTTGAGTAGGGGTAACATGCTGCCCAGAGACACAGCCAGCGATGAAGGGGAGGAGGGGTTGCCCTCCTCCATAAGGATAAGCCTCTGTAAAATAACCTATGGACATGCAAACCCTAACCTTAAAAATTAGAGAGTTTTTTTTTTGAAGATGTATTGTTTGCTTAAACAATACATTTGAACTTACCATTCGGGATCACCCCTGGGTTGTCTCTAAATAAAATAATAGTTGTTTTCTCACAGCCTCTCACTTACAATTACCAAATGGCCAGAATCTTCTTTCCGAAATAAGTCTGAATTTGTTTCTTTGAAGATAGAGCTCATTAATCACAAAGCATCAATTTATGCAATGTGTTCTGGATTTGCTTTACGTTTGGTCTGATTTTGCTTCTTTCAGACTTAATTTTGATGAAGGGAAGTTTTCATTTTGTTTGGATGCAAAGCTAACTTTTTGCGGGGAAGGTTTTTTTTTTTTTTGGACTTGTATCCTCTAAGTTAAAATTCCTCTAGGTTATCCTAAGTTGAATTTTCTACTGAATAACATGTGTCATTTAAGATATATCTATGGCATATGTTAAATCACTTAAGCTAATTTAATAAAAGTTAGGAAACTGCACCGTTTTAAGATAGAACAACTTTAAAATACTTAACTATTTATACTTCAGTTTAAATCTAAATTTGCACAAAAATGCATCTAGTTATTACCAACCAAAGATTTAGTATTTCTAAATAATGAACAATGCTTTTATTGATATCATGGCAAATTATACTCAAAACTTAAATTTTATAAAATTCATCTAATCAGACATTGTATACTATTAAATTAAAAACCTACTATTCAAGTTTCTTTAATCAAATCACCTTCTTCATCCAAGCCAATACTATTATTTCAGAAAAGAAAGAGAGGGAGCAATCTTTTTTTTGGGGGAAAGAGGAGAGATCTTATAGGAGAGATATGTTAACGTATTCGTAAAGCTTTTTACTTTAAAACGGTGTAGTTTTCTAAATTTTATTAAATTAGTTAATGTGATTTAATATAGGTCATAGATATATCTTAATGACACATGTCATTCTGTAGAAAATTCAACTTAGGATAACTTAGAAGATCCCAAGTCCTTCGTTTTTTCTTTTTGGGGAAGTTTAATTTTTAACTTTTCTGCCACTTATTTTGTCAAGTGGGACCTATAAAGTAAAAATTAAATTCATTAAATATTACAATATATATATGTTTTATACAAAAACTTTATGTATAAATTGTGGGACCCATAAAGTGAAAATTAAATTCATTAAATATTGCAATATATATGTTTTATACAGAAGTTGTATGTATAAATTGATAATTAGGTAAATACGAAATTAACTCCCAAGTCAACTTTTTTACCCCTCACTAGACCAATCCAGTGAGAAAGTAAATAGAGAGGATTTTTTTCCATTGTTAAGACGTGACAGACAATTTGCTAGGGAGTCAAAAATGATTTTCTAGATATAGTAAATTTAAATCTCAATTGCGAATGATTAGCAAATAATAAATAGGAGTAGTGATACAACCTCTGAATTCGAAAAATACCGAATGAGAATTATGTGAGTGGGGTGTGGGTCCCACCAAATGATGTTGTAGTCATATCATGTGGTGGAGCCCACATTCCCACTCACACAAAAATGATTCAAAATTCACCAAATTTGGATGATTCATTATTTTCCATTAACTAATTATGTTTATTAACATCTCTTGAAATGACCAAATGGGAAATAATCCAGTTTAGTACAAATTCACCTCCCCAAAGGGGATATCGGGGGTTTGAGCGTAGGTGTAGGCATGCAACTTTACCTTTACATCACCTCCCGTCCGCATTAACTAAAAATTAGTATATTTACCCTCCAATCATTCTATATCTCTATAGGTTACTTTATATGTATTTGAAGCCTCATTTTTTATTTTCAATGGAGTCTTTTCAGTCAAATTTTACACATACCAATGATATGTTAGATGGATTTTGCCAATTCAATTATAAAGCCTCTATCACATCAGTTAAAAGCATTGCATACACACACATACACAAGTATTTAACTTCAATCAAAAGAGGAAATTTATCATATCAAAATTCTCAAAAGAAGCTGTTACACACATAAGTAGGGAAAAAAAAATCTGTTATGTTTGCTTATCAAAAGAACCAATTGACTAAAAATGAACAATCATCATCATTCAGCTCTGACAAAGACTTTGAAATGCACCTTAGCATCGTACTTTTTATGTTGTAAAAACTCGTCTCCATTTGAGTCTTGTTTATGATCCAATAACACATAAAACATAAGATTAACAAATACATGAAATATATAAATTAATTAAGAGTACAAAAGTGGATTTTGGTCATAACATAATAGATAAAGTTGAATCAAACCTGAAGGTTAAATTCCTAACAAAATCACAGCAGGGAATCTAAGCGTGATGCTAAAGGTGAATAAAGATCTTAAGCCCATCGTTTCCCATACTTTGTTGTTGTGCTTGAATTTCTGTTGCAGAGGTTTCAGCATAGTTGCTAAAATACCACACTTGAATCATCTCCACCTAAACCATATGGGGATCTCCTTGAGTTGTTGACAACGATCCAACACTAGCCGTCGAAGGTTGGGAAAATGATTACCTGAGGCGCTCCACTACTCAATATCTAGGCCCTTATATATATAATCTTTACATAGAGTAGAAAAGAAAAACAAAGCGTATGAAGGCTCTGATGAACTTTAACGTGCATCAACCCAGTCATCTTCATCCATGAAGGCCACCAAATCCTGATATAAAGCATCAACCTGGTCATCCTCATCCATGAAGGCCACCGAATCCTGATTTAAAGAGTAGATAAGGATCTTAAGCCCATCATTTCCCATCATCTTTTGTTCTTCTTGAATTTGCCGGGCAAAATCTTCAGCAGAGCAGTTACACCATCTCACTTGAATCATCTCTAGAGTAGGTATATCCCCTAAACTAGATAGGATCTCCTCAAGCCACTGACACTCTATATGTCATTCAACACCAATGTTTGAAGGTTGACAAAGTGATCATTACAAGTGTTCCATTGCTTAATAAACAGGCCTTAAAATTTTAGGAATCTTAGTTTGCGAAACTCCCCATCATTTGTGTCCCATGTTGATCCTATGAATGACTAGCTTGTGAAAGATTGCAGAGAATTTCTTACTTTATTGTATTACTATCACATGTATATATACAATAGAGTACAACTAATAAAGGAAACATACCCCATGATTAAAGCAATCTAAGAATTATAACAGCTCCCTATACACTCCTAATGTACGGTATATAATCCCATACATTTCTCCTAAATTTATATTGTGTAATCCCACAATTCATGGAGACTAGAATATTCATGTAACGACCTAGGTTTTTGTTCAACCTAGTGTGTCCTGTGATGACCCGAAACAGATCCGAGATGCGGAAGTAAGAAAGTAAGACAATGGTCTCTCAAGGCACAACACGCCTCTTAGACACTTTGATGACCTTCCATGAGGTCATGGAACACAAATGAGCCAAGCAATGAAGCAAGAATGCCAAACTCGAAAAGAAATGAACCAAGGGCAAATGCTCATTTCACACTGAAATGGGTGACACCGTGCAGACCATTGGAAATATAACGAAAAATAAACATGGTTAGACTCAAGAATCGCCTGATTCTGAGTCCGGACGGAAAAGATATGAAATTAAAACAAAGTGGCCTACCTCGTTTAAGAGATACCACGACACTATCTCACTAGAACTGGAATAACTCTCACTAAAGTTGTAGTTTTGGAGTGTGGTTGGTATCATTGAAGAGTTAACTTCGAGCTCTTGAACTTAGACTCAAGAACGAACCAATTTGGATTTAAAACGAATGAGATATGATCCCCCAAAGTTGGAACAACAAAATTATCCAAGAAAAAGATGAAGAAGTGGGTTCCATGGAGGTTTAGTCGACCGAAACTCAATCGTCTGTTGGCCAAAACAAGGTTTTTCCTAAAAAGCCTACTGGAAATGGACCCTCGAGGCTCGTCGGCCGGCTGATGGACCTTGTTGGCCGGCTGATGGACCTCGTCAGCCAACTGAAACTTCTGCTGTAGCTATGAAAAGCTGCTGCAATGTGTGAAAATGGTGCCCAGCTCGTCTCTAAGGTTCTACATGCATTCTACATGATCCAAACACATTTGAAAACATCCCCTAGCATCATTGAAGTATTCAAATCATGCCAAAACAAAAAGGAACTCAAAATGACACCCCATGCATGAATTTTTCATAAAAATTCAATAAATCGCCCGAGAATAGTTCCAAAGTTGAAACTTGAGAATTTTGTGCAATGTGGACATGCACGCAAATGTAAAAAAACATTTAGGACGCGTCCCAATGGTCCGTGGCCTCAAAATAACTCCTATGCAAAATATGACCTCTCGAAGGCCAAAAATGCCTAAAAATGCTATAAATGGAACAAAAATACATAACCTAGAATGAGATGGTGTTTGGCCCTTGGCCACACCTCAAACATGATCATAGAAACCCTATGAAAGAAAAAGAATGGAATTGCTACACCCGATGTAAAAGTTATAAAGAAATGACTTAGCATTTTTCAATATTTTCATAGTAAACCTTGTAAATGAAGTGCATAAAATACAAGATACATGTCATTAGCCTCCGGCCTCATTTTATACATGTCAAATACATTGAAAGGAGTGTACTTATGTACACTTTTCATGTATGGGATCAAAGAATACAAGTTTTGATACATAAGGCTATGAGATGACATTTTTATGCTAACACTTGCATGAAATAGAAACTAGAAGCTACAAGTCAACCACGGAGCGATGAGCATCACGAACCAAGTCTTCGTACCTGAACAAATCCCCCAGTAACTTTGGGGTGAGTAAACAAGTTTACTCGTAGAGAATGAGCATGCATAACTCGATTTCTTTAGAGATTTTTAGATTAACATGAAACAGTTCAAAAGGTCATGCCACCTAATGTCTATGTCAAAGGTTAGACTAAGGGAGTATCCTAAGCTACCATAGAGTATAAACAACAAGAATCATGATATATATGAAAGGAATCAAGGTTGGGATAATCCAAGGAATACGACAAGAAGGATGCTTGAAAATAGATCAACATGAATTGCATTATCAATACAATTAAGCAAGGTTTGGAGTAATCCATACAACACAACAAGGAGGGTACTAGAATACAAGTATCACATTATCAATAAAATTGAACAAGGTTTGGAACATACCAATTAACACAACAAGAAGTATACTCGAATAGAAGTTAATAAGAATTACATTATCAATGTAATTAACATGATTGGAGCATTCCAATTAACACGATAGGAGTAACACAAGAAAACAAGAACAAGGCATAATATCTATGCAATTAAACAATGATGGAACATTCCATGAAACACGAAAAGAGTTATACATGAAATCAAGAACAAGGCATAATATCTATGCAAGTAAACAAGATTGGAGCATTCCACATAACACGACAAGGTTTAAATCTTCAAGGAATAGCACTTGAAATTTAAAGAGTGAAATCAACCAATGTGGATATCGCCCAGATTAAAACTGTACTCTTGAGATCACTTTAGGGCTACTAACCCATGGGTACATTTCCCCTAGTGCGCACTATAAGATAGAGAGCTCTCAATATCACCCGTACTAGAACCAAGTCCTAGCCATGTCAATTCTTGATTGATATCCCAAGTTCCAAAATCAACAAGTTGTGCAAGTCAAGATTATATCAAAATACAAGAAATACATTAACCACGTTTCATGCACAACCAAGATTTTGGAACATACAAGTCATGCCTTAAGTTCATCAACTATAACGGCATGTGAAATGTCAAGAAATCATAGTATGCATTTATATATATTAGAACCAAGATATATAGCACAAGAAATCTATTGAAGTACATATACCACAAGTATAAGATACATGATTCAATTACTTACTAAACAACACATGTGTAATCAAACCATTCCAAGATAATCGTACTACTTCATTAACTACCTTAATAAGTTCAAGTCATAAGAAGTCTAGATACATGATGAAAAGCTAAAAGCTCATGAAATACAAGTCCAACATTAAGTTACAATTTCATTTCATACAAGACACGACCATGTGATTTAAATTCCATACAAAGGAAATAAGCAAATGTAAGTCTAAAAACTTATCCGATTATTCTCAATTTGATACATGTGAAGGAACTTATCAAAGGAAGCATGAATACCAAGTTAAAAACTTAATCAAGACCAATGAGCCATGGAATGGATTTTAATTGATTCATTTACTTAAAATCTCTAGGTTTTGAAATTCATCTAAATGATCTCAAATTAATATATGTTATACAACATGTCAAGACTTGATTTTTAAGCATGTTACAAGTGAATTCCATGCAATGAATGGCCATGAGTATTAAACTTTAATACTAGAAAAATAATAATTGAAAGGGTTCAAAACCTAATCAAATATTCTAGATTTAATATATGTGAAACTATATGGCATGCACATCAAGAATATCAAGTCGAAATTTCAATGAAGTGAATAGTACACTTGGAATAAATTAATTAATCAAATTAATTAAATATTACTAGATTTCAAAACATCTCCGATTACTTTCAAATTCACCTATGTTGAAGAGCATGCTAGGGCCTAATATAATATGCTAACACATTAAGGCCACATGAATTAAATATTTACCCAAGATAAATACTAAATAAAATCTTTAATACTTGTTCAAATGCTCTAAATTTAATATATGTCAATGACTATATCAAGAGGTAATAAAATATCATGCCACATGTTTAAACCAAGTTATGAGCAACCGGAAAAATTAGATCTTACACAAAGAAATAATTAATTAAAGTTTCTAGATTTGATACAAAACATGTAAATGAGTTGTATCAGCATCAATAGCATGTAGTATAACAAGAATCATAAATTATAACACCCCCTACCTTGATCTGAGATGAAAATCTCAAAAGCCACCAAAAGAAAAATGCTCCAAATCCGACGATACCGCGAGGTTTTGTCGGGGACAACACGATGAACAAAAATCCCCAAGAAGCCCCATGAAAATCATAACTTGACTTCAAACCCGAACTCAAAAAATGGTCAGAAACGGGTTCTAATAAGGGTGAAAGATGCGTGTCGTCAAGACAAGCACTAAACATGAGGCACTACGATGTTTTACACGAGGGAAGGGCTTCAAAGGAGGAGAGAGAAGGTGGCAGCCCTTGGCTGCCAATGATTTCGGCCAAGAGAGGGGTGAGAGAGTGAAAAATCTGATTTTTTGTCTTTAAGTCCCCTATTTATAGGAAAACCCTAAAAGTGCCCCAAAGGGGTCCCGCCGGGTCCAAAAAAGTGGATTTTGAGCAAACGCACTCAAACGGCAACATTCCTTGAACAAAAAAGAATCAAAATGAGAAAATATGAACAACGAAAGAAATGGTGTCGAAAACTAAGTCCCGAGCAGAGAGATATGTCCCAAACAAGTTCGGCGGCAACCGGGGTCAGAAATCCCTGAAACTGGGGAAAACGACCGGAAGAGAATTCTAAGAGTACACGACTTGAAAAAATGTGAAAATGAATCCTGTATGAGGATTCAGGCTCAAAACGAGATATTTTTGCAATAACTTTCGTTAATTGCACAATGGCTCATCCAAAAAGGGTTAACTGCATAACTGCCCCAGAATGAAAATATCTTCCAAAAATATTTTCTTAAAAACCCCTGAAATAAAATATCTTCAAAAGATATTTATGAAAAACACCCCAAGAAAAGAACAAAAAATCTGAAGAATTGTGCATCCATGCCCCTATGGACACCGGGAGCAACCAGAGTACTTTCTTACAAAAGTAAAGATACGTATTTCGTTGAAACCACTTCGAATGAAGACACGTGAATTCAAAAACTAACTCTGAGCATGAA